TGCAATGCTGTTCCCTCTGCAAAAATGCCTCCTACAGGTCAGGGTTTGGTTCCTGATCAGGGCACATGCCCAGGTTGTGGGCTCGATCCCCAGTGTGGGGGCATGCAGGAGGCAGCCGATTGATGATTCTCTCTCATCGTTGATGTTTCTATCTCTCCCTCTCCCTTCCTCTCAAAAATCAATAAAAAAATGTATTTTTAAAAGACCAATGGGTTTTATTCCAGGAGTGCAAGATGGTTCAATATTAGGAAACTTCTTAATATAACGTAATAGCAGATCCTAGAAGATCCATAAATATTGAATGAGCATTTGACAAAAGTCAACACCCTTTCCTGAATAAAACGCCAATAAGGAATCAATGAATAATTCTTTAACATGACAAAATATAAATCTCAGGTAAAAGCCAGTAGTTTGCTTAACTGAAAAGCATCAGAAACATTCCCATGAAAGTCAGGATAATACACATGTGCACACTTTCATTGTATAGGAGGTACTAGCCAATGCAATAAGATAAGCTAAAGAAATAAGAGATGTAAGAATTGGGTTGGGGAAATATAATGTACAGCATGGTTAACAATTCTGTATTGTATATTTGAAAGTTACTAAGAGAAAATCTTAAAAGTTCTCATCACACCGAAACCGGTTTGGCTCAGTGGATAGAGCGTCGGCCTGCGGACTGAGGGGTCCCAGGTTCGATTCCGGTCAAGGGCATGTACCTGGGTTGCGGGCACATCTCCAGTGGGAGGTGTGCAGGAGGCAGCTGATGGATGTTTCTCTCTCATCGATGTTTCTAACTCTCTATCTCTCTCCCTTCCTCTCTGTAAAAAATCAATAAAATATATTTTAAAAAAAACAAAAAGTTCTCATCACAAGAAAAACATTGTCATGATGTGTGGTGATGGATATTAACTCAACTTATTGTGATCATTTCACAATAGATACATTTTAAAAAATCATTATATTGTATACCTAAAACCAATATAATGTTATATGTCAGTTATATCTCAATAAAAATGAGACTTGGATAGGAGGAGGTAAATTATTTCCACTTACAGATAATACGGTTCTAAGACTTGCACATCTAAGAGAATCAACTGAGAGATGTCTACAAACAACAGCCAGTTAGAAAAGACGCCACAAAAAAGTTAAGCACTTATGAATAAACTTATCAAAAAATATGCAAGTTATATTATAAAAAACTATGAACAATACTGAAGGACACAGAGGATTTAAACAAATGAAAAGACATACCATGTTCCTAGATAGAAAGATTCAACATTATAAATATGTCATTCTCTGAAGTTAATGTGTAACCGTAAAACAATCCCAATACATTGCACAAAAGAGGATATTTAAATGTCCAATAAATACATTTTTAAAGCAGTGAAACATATTAGTCATTAGAGAACTGAAAACTAAAATTGCAATTAATTGCCACTATATGCACACATACACATCAGAATGGAAAAAATGTTTAAAAAACAACTGTTGTAAGAATAGGGAATAGCTGAAATTCTCAGACACTACTAGAAGGAAGGCAAATTGTTACACATCACTATGGAAAACAGTTGGCAATATTTTCTGAAGGTGAACACATGCCCATCCCATGGCCCAGAAATTCCTCTCATCAGTACATAGCCAACAGAAATGTGTATCTGTGAGCACCAGAAGCCATGTATGATGGCCAAAACCAGAACAACTTGTGTCCATCAGCAAAAAAACGAATTTTAAAAACTCATAAATATAATGTTGAGCCAAAGAAGAACTGTGCATATATACAATGAAATATGACTCAGCCATATAAAGAATGAAATCTTGCATCTGCAACAACATAGATGAATCTAGAGCAGTGATGGCGAACCTTTCGAGCTCGGCGTGTCAGCATTTTGAAAAACCCTAACTTAATTCTGGTGCCGTGTCACATATAGAAATTTTTTGATATTTGCAACATAGTAAAACAAAGACGTCTATTTTTAATATTTATTTTATGTATTTAAATGCCATTTAACAAAGAAAAATCTACCAAAAAAATGAGTTTGCGTGTCACCTCTGACACACGTGTCATAGGTTCACTGATCTAGAGGGTATTGTGCTGAGTGAAATAAGTCAGAGAGAGAAAGACAAATGCCATATGATTCCACTTACATGTGGAATCTAAAAAAAAATTTTTTTAAATAAACAAACAAACAGACTCACAGATACAGAGAACATTTTGACGGTTGGCAGATGGAAGAGGGGTCGGGAGGTTTGTGTGAAAAAGGTGAAGGGATTAGAAAGTACAACTTGGCAGTTCCAGAATAGTCACAGGGATGTAAGCTTCGGGAATAGAGTCAATAACGGTGCAGTAACTCGGTAGGATGTCCGACGGGCACTAGCTCTATTAGAGATGATAACTTTGTGAGTTGTATAAATGTCTAATCACTGGATTGTACACCTAAAGCTAATATAATATTGTATGTCAACTGTAATTAAAAATTTTTTAAAAAACCACAATTTAAAAACATATATACTTACTGTTGAGCCAAAGAAGGCAGATGCAAAAGCATCTGTGTATATAAAGTTAAAAAGCAAAAACAGCAAAACCCAATCCAGGACATAATAAAAAGGGGTGATTCCCCCTCAGAAGACACTGGGGGGGGGGACCTGGGGGCTAGTGACCCTCCAGTTCCCGCTCTGGGTAGTGACTCACATTCCTCTGCGTCCACTTTGCGATCACTCACCAAGCTGCGTACAGTTTATTCACTGTTCTGGAAGTGTGTTACACTTCAGTTTTTATTAAAGCAATTGCAATCAAAACACCAACACGAGTGTGCGTAGACGTTAGATTTTAAAGTTCAAACAGAAAAACAAGTCAACAACAACAGCCTGAAAAGGGTCTAACAATAAGAAAACCGCGCTTTCATACGTTAAAAACTATTTTTAAATATCGTAAAACTTAGCAAGCAAAACAGTGGGGATATGAATGAACATGAGCAGGCAAGGGAGCCAGTGGAAAAGGAGGAATTAGGTTCAGAAACGGAACCACGTACGAAGGGGACGAGCTGTGGTACTCGCTTCTGATAGAGCAGCTTCAGGAGGGAAAAGATAACCATAGGAGGAGAAGGGGGGCGGTGGGAGGGAAGGGGGGGCGGAACTGCATCTATACCTCACAGCATTAGGATGAATTTCAAATGGATCAACATTTGAATGTAAAATAACAGAAGAAAAAAGGACGTGTCCTATTATCTTGAAGTGGGGATGACCTTTGTACCTGTGATTCAACGTTCAGAAGCCATAAAAGAGATGACTGATTATTTGGCTGCATAAAAATAAACACTTGGGCATACAAAATAAACAAGCCATCAACCAAATAAGAGATAAACACTAAACTGGATGCGACTTGTATCAAAGGCAAAAGGCTGATCTCCCTAATAGATAAACAGCCTCCAGAAATAAAAAGGGAAAAGACAACAATTCCATTTTGAAAATAAGTAAAGAATATGAGTGAGGAAGGGGGGGAGGAAGAGAGAGAGAGAGAGAGCGAGGGAGAGGGAGAGAGAGAAAGAGGGAGAGAGGGAGAGAGGGAGAGAGAGAGAGAGAGAGAGAGAGAGAGAAA